CAAATGTTCGAATTACATTCAACCAGAATTGTCCCCCTTTTTTCTTTAACAGTGAAGAAAATTGGATATGTTAATGACATATTGACCGCAAAACTCAAAATGTCCCCGCTTTTCATTTTTAAAATCTAGTCACCTTATGCTAATGCTAACGCTACATTAGCATCAGCCATCTTTTCTACTTTTGTGCTATCTGTACAAATGGTTAACATTGAACATTAAAAAGATCAGGCAGTTCAGGGGGAATCAAAGGAAGACAGGCATGCTTTGCATGACATTCTTCTGGACGTGTTTCATTGTGGTGATAGTGAGGGTAGTCAAACCCTTTTTTGGCAAGACAGTAGTGACTGCCATTCTGGTGACGTGTGTTGTTGTGCGAGACCAGAGATGTAGTTCATTGAGCGGTTTCACACGAAAAAAGTGTTACTTCACAGTTTTACGACACATTTTTATTTTTTACATGCAAAATTATCTTTTAAATTGACAAACATCATATGTGTAATTCGTGGCACAATTCAAACGGAATCGAAAGATAATCTTTCTCTCCCCATTGACTTCAATACATAATTTTTTCCAAAATAAGGTCCCATGGAGCTCCTCCGGGAAGGGAGGGACTTCGCCTCTCTATAGCAAATAAATATAGTGTCTCAGGATTATCAACTCGACAGTCTTCATATGGATTATTTTTCTACACGCTGTCTGCAAGGAACTGAATACATTTATACTCAAAGTTTGTCAGAGTTATCCACGTGTGTATATTAGCTTGTTAGCAACTGAGTGTTAGCATTCATTAATAAAGTGAATGGACTCTTAGCCACGTTATAGCTAACTCAGCTTGCACTATTGTCTTCAGTTCTCGGTTTTTCGGCATGAAAACCCTGACGATCTTTATCAGTTTTGCTGCAAGTTGGTGACACAGTGAGGAGTTTTGGACAATACGAGAGAGCACGCCGTCGCTGGACACCTTCCCGCCGCCGTTAATCGCCATTTTAGACTGAGGGATCGGTACAGCTGCAGTTTGGAGTTGAAGATGTTTGTATCGCGCTGGTTTTATTGCTCATTTGAGTGAAGACTAGAGGACAAATAGTTTTGACTTTCAACGCTCTCAAGCATCACATCAGGCCTGCAACGTGAGGGGTTTTATTTCATTTTATTTGCCAGCTTGTGTGTGTGCGCTGAGCGAGTGTGAAATTGATTCAAAGGTGACCTGAAATAGGTTATTATAATAATTCCCAGTTAAAGGGATTATTAATCTGACATTATTGAAGTATACAGTAAATAATTGAGATCTCTATTTCTTAAACTGATTCCAGTGTGATATTTGGTGATTTCCTTTTAATAGAGGTATTTAAACTAATGTGTTTAAGGTAAACATTGTGCTCAACACATTTAAATATACATTTCTATTATATGTCACTCAGCTAAATAGTTCACTGTGTATATGTTATAGTAGAGTAGACATCATCTAATACTAGTGAAGTTACAGTATTTAAAGGGACTCAAGATAACACAAAGGCTTCATTGGTCAAATATAAACAGGATAACTTAAGAGAAATAAGACAACTATAGGCTACCTTATGTATTCTTCATTGTAAATTAGATTTATTGAGTTAACAAACTCAGGGCCCTTCCCTGATTAGGGAATAACTGGGCTACATGATGAATGTGTGTAGTAAAGGCAATTAGTTGATTTTGTCTTTATTGTAAACCTGGAATGTTTTATTCTGTACAACAATTTCCCACCCTCAGCTGACAAGCCATGCGTTCTCCTCTCAAAGGCTGAACTGTCCTTAACTTGGCCTGAAGCTGAACAAAGTTAGCTTCTTCAGAGCTTAGGTTCAGGTTTGTGGTCTCCTCTCCTCCTTGCAAAACAAACTGTTCCCTCTGACTTTACCATCGTTCTTTCAGTATTTAATGTCATGTGCCAAATAGGAAGAGAAACACCCATGTTTTCCCCACAGCACGTAAGGGAGCACATTAGTAATGTGCCACAGAAATACACTCGCATACTTACACCACTCAACTTTAGGACTCAGATGTGGCTTTGGTCTGTTCAGCTTCAATTTAAAACCATAAAAGAATTTGGACTGCACCCAAATCAGGAAAAGATTAAAACTATATGATAAGAAGAAGGAGGGGTGAATTTCCTACAAAATCTTTTGTTTCTGATATAGTTAGTCTGTATGAGTTCAAGTTGTTTGCTCCATTAAGTTTAACAATGAGAGGAAGGCATCAGGGTCAACAATGATTGGTGACTCAAACTTTTTCTTTCCCAGCCCAAATCTCACCAGTTTTTAAGAAAATATATATAAGTCGGTAGCACTGCTGCAATGTACATTTAAACTAAACGATAAGTTGTCTTAACAATATCACAAAAACATACATTTCTTTCCAGAAATTACAAAACAGTTACTCAATAATAGTCCACTGACATTGTTGTGAACAGAAACTATTTTCTTATAAATGTTAGCTTAAATTCATTGGTGACACCCAAGCAATGCTTATTGAGTCTTGTCACATTCACAAGTTCGGTGAAATCTGTCACCTGGTTGAGTTTTCCGCTAATATTTAGCTTTCAGTCTGAGAATGTCCATACCAGTAACAATCTGACACCTGCAATGTATGCGAAATGGATGAGCTCTGCAGATGTAAGCTGTTTGGAGTGTTTTGTCTACTGCAGTTTGAGATGGATAGGTATTTTTTGCCTGCTGCATTCTGCCTAAAGCACATGCAAACAAGCACTAAACTAGTCTGTAAAGTCAGTCTCACATTCCCCGTCTTCAAAATTGCCTCAGCTTTGACCTCTGGTGACATCACATATTAGTTTAAATTCTGCTGAGTTTTGAATTCAGAAATTAGCTATTTGTGTTCAAATGAATTTACAGCTGCCTTAGGCGTGCCTTAAAGCAGATTGACGCATGGAAATTCTAAAATGTTGTGTTTCCTGTGTTGCAACAAAAAGCTATTTAGATGACGAACTGGAAAGTTTAAATACTGTAATGTACATGTATGTATGTGTGTGTATGCTCATTTGTTCTGTAAGTGTGTGAGGGTTGTGGGTTTAGGGGTGGTGGTTTTCCTTTGATGGAAAAACAACACCGCAGCTAGAGGAGTGAGTATTTGGGATCTCCTTGCCAACCATATGGTGTGCACATTTATTATGTAATCCATAGTAAAGTTAAGAGACCAATAACAGAGGGACTCAGTCTCTACCAGCCAGGCGTTTGCGAATGAGGCAGTTTTTTCCAAATTTAAAATATGTAATTTACCTAGAGTCCCACTATTAATATTATTGTTAATGCTTCTATCCCCTCTACTTATAAGCTCTTACTTGCGTTACAATCAATACCACTAAAACCAGTATATAGGAAAGTGTCAAAGTAAATAAAAAGTTTACTTTTAAAGCTTTGTGTTGCTAAAATAAGGGTTATAACAAAACATGGTATGGATATGATGATTCAATGGTCTACGATCCAAAAACATTGAAGCAAAGTGAACATGATGATATTTTGAAATTCCCATGGCACCACTGTCACCAGTCGCATCTTCTTCCTAAATATTCCATGCTTAAACATGAGATATTTAGCACTCTGAAGTGAATAAAAGGTCAGTTTTAAATATTTAAAAAATAAATGGATTGTTTTTTTAGCAAAGTTATAAAAGTGAAAAATCATATTTTAGTTGCTTTTTGTGAGACGGGTTAAATGTTCTCTCCTGAATTTAATTCAAACCATGTCACAGATTTAGTGTTTGTTTGTGTATTCCCATCCTTATTGACATCACCAGTGAGGGACGGATGCAGTCTGAGGTGTCTGCTGAAGCTCTATCTATATTAAGCTGTATGTGTTTCAGGGCAGTATGAATGGTTCACTCTGTCCCTAACATAAAACAGACACCTAAGTGACCGTGAAGCTCAGTGGAATGTAAAGCATCAGCATCAAGGAAAGCCCACGAAACTCAAGCCCGTTCTCGAAGTCACGGTACAGTTATGGTTGGATCTGTGCTCAGTAGAGGCTGTATAGAATGTATTTAATGTTATCTGATTTGACAGATAATGCAGCTCTGAGCCATGATAAGATTGGCTGGATAGACAGTGATGATAGGACAAACAACCAGCATCTCATGTGACTTCGAAAACTCAGATTCCCCTGATGCTTCCTGTTGTGGCTTGTTTAATCAGAATATCCTGCGAACAACTTTGCTCTTATCTGATATTTGTCTTTTGATATTGTTTCCTGTCTTCTTTTCACATATCTACTGAAAAAATATGTCCCTTTTGAAACCAGCACTTTACAATGCTTGTTATTTCTAAATCAATTGAACAAGAAAGGCAAACAAAAAGAGATGCATAGTTTCTGCAGAATATTCATATTTCTCTCGTAGTTACTTCTGTTTGTCTGCACTGTTTCACAAGATATTTAGTTTCCCAAGTTACGGTACCAGGTTCAAAACTAAAACTAGTTTGGGGAATTATCAAATGTTGCTTTCATCGAAAAAACATAACTTAGTTTCTTTAAGAAATACTGAGGTGATATTAATTTATTTGGAACTCATTAGACATTAAAATATATCCCCAGTTAGCAATGGTAATATGTTGAATTGCATTAATAAAAGATAAAGAAAGGACCTACGTTCAATGTAAACACTGCACATTTCAAAACATTCAAAATACGGCTTTGCAAATGTTTTATCATTTTGGAGATTAATTAAACATATTTCAATGAGCCTCAGGGATACATATAATTAAATTAAGTAAAACAAAACTGCTTATAGTTCACAATTAAGATGAATACTGGTAACAAACATTTGTCTCTGTATTGCTGCATACTCTGAATGGCATGTGAGACATTGGAACTTTCCAACAGACTCTCACAAACAATATATATATATATTATATATAAGTTTTTTAAACTTGGAAAGCTCAGTATTTGTTGGAGATTGCAGTGTACACAGATGCAGATGAAGTATTAAACTAGTTTATAGTAAATGTGTGATTCCCTGAGGTTATTCTAAAATATCAAACTTTTTTGTAGTTTTTTAAATTTATTTTACTCTTTGGTATGTTGCCTGTATTTATCTCCCTGCGTGGAAACTTGGCTGTTTGGAGGATTAGTGCATCTGTACGACAAATAAAATGGTTCATAAAACCTAATACATAATTCCGGTTTTGCCTTTTATTGCGGAGCCATTTATGTTATTTTCTTAAACATTTTTATGATTTGTCGCCATTATAGGCATTCCCACTATATGTGAAGTGTGTTTTTCTCAGAGTCCTGCTATCAAGAACAAGGGGCCGGCCCCTCTGAGCTTCAGTCTGCAGCAGTGTGGGGCAAAGAGATAGCCTGGGTGGGAGAACTGATAGCGAGGATCTGTAAAAGAAAAACACACATGCTGTTGGCTTCAAGGAACTTATGTCATGGATGGACTCATGTAAAATGAAGCAGCCTGTGTCAGACTTTAAGCTGCCTCAGACATCTGCAGATTGTCAAACAAGTTGAATTTAGTCAGTTTAAGTCTACAGAGGGCCAATATGTGCAGACAAGGTAGAAACTCTGAAGGAACATAATCATGATCTTTATAACCAGTTTCCAAATCTCCCTGCAGAACTGTTACCCATACCGCCTGCACCCCCCCTCAAACCACCCTCTTCTAAATTTGGCATTGAGCCATGCTCTTTATTTCCTTTTTTGGCAGAAAGTAGTGCAAACACATTAAGTGCTGCATGCTGCTTGTACTTTATAGGTGACATTCTTTCAAACCCTCTTTGTGCAGACAAAATCATCCATGTTATCAGCAAAATGCATTTTTATCAAAAATAAAACAAATCGTTGTGGTCCCTTTTTAGAGTGTTTTTACATATTTGTAAACTATGCAATGTCCGAAGCCTGCCATGAATGAATGGATGCCAAAGCCTGTGGCGATGGATCTTGTAGGGAAGGTGCGAGGCTTTACTGAATGAAGTCATCCCATGTCTTTGATACTCTGCCTCTACGTCAACAATCTGATCCACTGTCCAGATGGTTTTTGTCTTTGTGATTGCTGGATCAGAGTGGATGAGAATACCCGAGTAGAATCCCCAACAGATGCTTGTATCAATGTTTTCTTGCTTACGTTCGAAGATTTGGAGGACGTAATGTCTGCTGTGGGCTGTTTACGTTTTCTGATATCTTTTCTCACCCATCATTCATTCTCCATTACCTTACCCTTTTTATTGCACAATAGTTCAGCCACGGTAGATATCTCGTTGAAATATCAGGATGCCTGGCTCCTCATCTGTTCTCTTCTCTTCATAATTTGCCTGTCAAATTGCAAAAAGCATATCTACAACACCTCTTGTGTTATTGTGACACATTGTTCATTGTGTTATTAGGCAGCTTACTATGCTCCGGTCATCTGGATTTATGTTTCTTCTCTCTAGATGCTTATTATTTTTATACCATATTTCACCCTACATTAATAGTCTGCAGCACCTCCCATTTACCTTGAGGCAGGGGCTGTAATGCCTCGTAGATTAGAGAGTACATTTACCTCATTCCTCTGATTTGAAGGTCTTTCTACTTCCACACAACACATTTATATAAATATATAAATGCAGTGCCAGTGAGGGCAGTGGAAAATTGAGATATTCAGATGAGGTCCAGTCCAAAAACACATCATGTTTTCCTGGAAAGGAAGCGAGCGAGAAGGTGCCTCTCTGCTCTCTTACGTCATAACAAGTGTAGGCAGAAGGGAGCTGCTCTCCGATGGTTTTCCCCATGGCAGAACACGGCGACTTGTGAAAACAAAGTCTGCAGACTCGAACTGAAGCCATTACGCTTGGTTATCTTATTGAACACGCACTGGCTCAACAGCTGCTTTGGCGTGCTTTATTTATCTGCACTTTGACAGATTCCTACTGTGTGGGGCTCAACAGCAAGAGCTTATGTGGATTGAGACTTCCTAGTGAAGGGGTAGAGATCCTGACTTCATCTTTATCAATTCCATAGCAGATGACATGGTCTCTTGCTCTCTGATCACCGTTGTTGTATCAAGCAGATATGTTAGGAATTACCGAGACTATCTATCATGTGCTTCTTCTCCTTGCCTCTGGAAACAGGAATGGACAATAGCAGGCTTTGTGTGTTTCTGTTAGTCTCTGTTGTCCTTCCACATCTGCCGGTCATACAGTAAACCTCGTGTCTCCATCCACAGCCTGGAAATTAAGACGCTGGTTGCTTGGGGATTAACCTTTACTTATCCAAACACAGCTCACTGAGGATGCACACACTTTTCCCTGCAACTCTCTGCTTCACATTTACGCTGAACTTTTACCACAGTCTTCTTTAGAGGCTTTAAGGCTCATGTGTACTTATGTGTGAGCCATATTGGAGGTCACCTTTTTTTATTAATCAACAAAACAGGTTATTAATAATAAAAACATTGTCATTTATTAAGAGTGGGTGGTATGGACATACTGTGTATACCATAAAATGATAGACATGTGCTTTCCAGACATCTACCCATTTAGTGTAAATGCATTAGTTAGAAGAAGTGAGTATGAAACCAAATACATCTGACTTAAATTGGACTGCATGAATTGTGTGAGTTAAATGGATTTTAATTATATTTTTGGTGTTGTTGAATTCATAAATATTTTTCTCAGTTTTTAAAATCTTGGTTTACTAGGAAAGTATGCAAGAAAAACAATGTTTCCTTCAAGAATCTTATGTAACACGGGTTGAGTAATTGATGCATACATGGTCATTCTGTGGGTGAATTAATCCTTTAACATGTGTCACTATAATGTTGTGGAGGGCATTGTAGCCAATTTGAATGGTTATGGAACTTATTTATGGTAGTATTTTGGTTTTCAAAAGCAAAGCATCATAGTACCAAACAACCCTGATTTGTCACGTTTGGGGATAGACTTTCTCATGTGATTAAAGCAGCATTTTCTGTGGCATGATGTAAGAGCGAATAATTCATTGCTGTATACCAGAGTGTCTTTTTTGATACCACCACTTTAGGGACATCAAAGACAGCCAGTCAGCAGTACCTCAACAGTATCAATGCACACTTGAGTGTTCACAGTGGGGCCAATGTACTGCACTATAAATGAAGTGACATCCGTGAGTGAACCACACTATTTTTTTCCAAAATGGCCTGGCGATTCAAACTAGTTCTTTACTATCGTCCAAGCAACCACTGTTCCCTTGAATACAAGTGTTTCTACAAGCATGCACTTTTTCTGTCATGCTTTATGCATTATATAAAGTAAAACCGTCTTAAATAACAGTGCATTAACTCTTTACTGTATGTGTTACTTTAAAACTTGCTACATCTGAGGATTTGTTTCCATGAAAGTCAGAGTTCAGAAATAGCTTGTTTTTGTTTAGTGTCGACACAGACCTTTTTTTTTTTACTTGAAACACATGGAAAAGGCACTGCTTTAAGAAGACTTATAAAAAGAAAATGTTCCTTGTTTAGACATGCTCAACTGCTCTGTATGCTAGATTACAGCATGTTTCAGATGTGGTGTAGCATATCCAGGCAGGGACCCTCTCTGAGGAGCTGAGGGGTTAGAGAGCTGAGATCCAGGCTGCCTGCACAGCTCTGGGCTTTTTCCCAGGCCTCGAGCCCCAGAAATAGTCTGCCCTGCTCTCCTGCAGTGAACCAAAGTTTCCCACTCTTCCACAGAACTAGGGTCCCAGCTGAGTTAAACATGCACAACACTGATAACCAACAGAGGGCTCTTTGTTTTCTCTAAGTAATGTCCCTTTTATCATCTTAGTGAAATCATTTAAGTTTAACAAAGACATAGATATTTTTAATATAGCAGATAAAGCAGTAACAAAACAAAAAAACGCCAAGCTAATGTAGTTCTGAAGAAACAGTGGATGTGTTGATGCCTGTTATACATTCCACCATTTTAAATACACTTTCATTTCTCACCTTGTATTCTGTATGCATGGTCAGTGAATTTGAGAAGCAGTGATGTATTTGCATTGAGTCTGACATTATTTTAATTCTCTATGAAGAAGCTAATTAAAGATAAGAGCTGGCTTTGAAACGGACACATGGAAGGATCTGAAAGGACTTCTACTTAAACTACAAAGTTGTTGAATTTGTAATGCTAACAAAAACTTTCACATCTTCATATAGCTCTGGCACTTTTGCAAGTATGATAATTTCTAAAATCATAAAAATGTCTAAAATGTCATCTTGGCTAGGGCTGCTCAATTAATCGTATTTTAATCGCAAATACGATTTTGGCTTGCAACGATTATGAAAACAACATAATCGAAATAAAACTATTATTTTAATTTTTTAATTTTTAAATATGTTTTTGTATTGGTTTCAGTTGAATTATACTTAAAGTTCAGGGTAATCAACTGTTAAAAACATACTGTTCAAACATTTTTTTCAATAAATGGATGTTTTCAAAGTAAATGGATAATCGTTTTTAATAATCGTTTTTTAAAAAAAGTGAGAAAAAATGGAATAATGCAATACGAGTCTATATACAAGTTAACATATGAAGAGAGAAAGCAATGGTGAATGTTAGAGGGAGATGTTAGACATTGCTCTTGTCTGTCTTTTAAATAACGTTTCAGAAAATGTGAAACCTTCATTTGCCTGCACGGTTGTGACTACAGTAGGTATTTTGCTCTTTAGGAGGAATTTGTTTTTAGACGACAGGAAAGAGTTAAACAATTAGAGGTTACAAAATAATGGTGTGGAGGGTGGGTGGTCCCTGGTGATTACTATTTATCACGGATGAGAAGGGAGAACTCAGGAAAAGGGTTGGGATGTGGATAAGGACTGAGGCACTGCAGGGCTAGCTGATGCTGTAATACATTTGGGTGGGGGTAGCAAGGTGGTGAGGTCATGTTGAGAACAAGGGGAGAAAAGGAAAATAAAGCCTTGTGATTAAAATATGGAATGCCTGTATCTGGGAATCTTGGGAGATTCATGTTTCCATGGGCAACAGTGCAGAGGGAGGAGTGCACACACACAGGAAATGTGACAGAATTACCAGCTGTGAGTAGACGCACAAGCTTTTTAGTGGTCAATAAAAGTAGAATGGAAATGAAATGCAGCATTGAACCCAGAAAGGGAAAAGGTGGAGCACCATACGCAGTGACTGTACTATACTACTCATTAAATAACAGCGACATGATGCAAGAGAATTTTGCACAGTCCAAACACTTGGCAGACATTTGGCGAGAACTGGAAAAAACAGAATAAAACTGAGTGTTGTTTTCAGAGCTCGCATCTGTGTGTATTACAGCCTTCAGCTTACTTATCACTAAGGCCACAGATATGTGAAGTGGGTGAATAGTCATTAAAGGGCAGCACGGAGGGGGGGAGTTTGGCAATCAGCTTGGGAATAGTGGGAGAGACCAAAGTAAAGGGGCCAAGAAGTGATAACAGTGTGAGGCTTCGAGTACAGGATCCTCCTGTCACAGGCTGCAGGGTGATGTTGAACAGCTGTGCAGAGAGGGGCTCACTTCCTGTTTCCAAACCCAAAACAAACACTCTTAAGCAGAAGACATGAGTTCCTCCAAGGACAGCATTGAACCGAAGTTGTTTTTTGTTGGTTCCATTTTCCCCTTCCTCTCTGCTATGTTTCTCAACCCGTCTGCTTTTTCCTTTTAAAAAGAGGGAAGTGAAAACGTGTTCTTTATCTTAAAACATCTTATATGGCTTCAAAATCTGCAAGTTTAAAGGTGGGGTAGGTAATTTTGGAGAAACCAGCTCGAGTGCGCTAGAATTTGAAAATACACAGCCGGAAGAAATCTGCTACTTCCTTACAGAGCCCCTCCTCCAACACACACGAACGCGCACATGACCAATGAGGGCACGAGATAAGTTTGTGCACAGATGGAAGGCTGACAGGCAGGTAGGCCATCCAGTTATTTTAGCCGGGCCGGCTCAGATGATTGGTCGTGCTTTTTACAGTACTACGGCTTCCACAGATGACATCTTTTTATGGATTTTTTGTCAAAGCACTTAAGATATTAATCGCTATCGGGGTGTTAAGTGCATTCCATGGAATATAACAAAAAGCGTATCTCGGGCCGGTTTCTCAAACTTACCTACCCCACCTTTAAGTGTATGCTATATTTAGAATATGTATTCCGCTTTACCTTGCCGTAAAAAAAAGCCCTTTCGAACAAGCTACCACCAGACTTCGTTGAGAACACATGGGAATTGATCTTCTAGCGCTGCCTTGAGTGTTTAGTTTGTTTGTGTTGTTGTGTTGCCATAGTGTTTTTAAAGGGTTAGTGAGAGTTCACCAAAGTAAACACTGTAGGTAATACCCTTTTTACCTCACTTCAAAAGCCTAAGCTAAACTATCTCTTTGTAAGGTAAAGTTGCAATATCATACTTTAAAAAACACTTGATTACAAGGAAATGCTTGCTTAGTAAAAGTACAGTGTTATTAGTAACTTTTATAAGCAAGGCATGGCGTCTGTGAGTTCAACATACTGTAGGTCAGAATCGTCAGGAAAACTTTTATTGCAAGTCCTGTGGGGATCATAAATCCAGTCACCAAATTAAGTAAACAAGCATTCCTCTCAAACGATTAAATTGGTTAAGCATTGAGCTTCATTCCTGAACTCTGAGTTCATCTTACTAGCTTTTCTGAGCTTTAAACACATATAAATACCTTTATTTAGCAAATGGAGCTGCCTTAAATGTCTTGTACCTATACAAACTATAGGGTTGCTTTAAAGTTTAAGAAAGTATACAAGAAATTCAAAGCAGAGTAACAAAAATGAATGATTCAGTAGTATGGAATAACACTGAACCAATGTCCTTACGAAGAGTTTAGGCACAGTTGGCGCTGAATTAAGGATCACGCTTTTGTGGACGTTTTTTCATTATTGATGAATTGGCTGGTTATTTATCCAAGTTGAACCCAACATGAAAAATGTCCCAAAGGTTTTCTATAGCGTACAGGAAACATTAAGATGTAGACATGCCTTGTCAGAGTTTACGAGAAATGTTCTGCGTCCCAGATTAAGTTGTATGGATTTATCATCACATCCCCTCTGACCGTTGGACATGGACATGATGAAGGTGGAGGTCTCTGAACAGATTTTAAATGGCTGCACACGTCACGCAGTCTCTAAATGAGCCTCTTCCTTCTAAAAACATGTTCCAGCCTTTAGCCCCAATACTGGCCTCAGAAAGGGAGCAGAGAAGAGGGCAGGGAATCTACTCATTCTTTTGGCCTGCGTCTAGCAAGAGCCCTCCCTCCCTGTCTCCCTCCCCTTCTTCTCTCCTTTCCTGTCAATGGAAAAATGCCCAGAACCAGCAGGGGTGGGTTGGTAAAGGGGGGGGGGGGGGGGTAAAGGTGGCAAAGTAGATGGAGAGAATAAGAGAGTAAAAGGACATGGGGGGAAATGATTGGATCAATGATTAGAGAACAAACAAACACAATCTGTACTTTATGCAGAAAAAGATGACAAGAAATGTCGATGAATTGAGACGGATTAAAGTGTTACAGTTCCCTCGGGGATTTCCAAAGGTGAGGTGGTGGAGAGGGGACACTTTTGTCCCAGCAGGGTGACAACCGCGTGCACAGGGGAGGGGAGACTGGGGCTGCTGCTGTTCATAGCATTTTATGTTCTCCGCTGACATT